TCGTATTGGGAGCCGTCCTGGTCCATAAAGAGACTATCTTTACATTCGAGTCCGACCCCTGCCCCGTCGGCTCCAATGGGGTTCTTTCTCGGTGTTTGAGGCTTCTTGACCGAGTGTTGGATAGGAAGTTCGTCCGAGGGTGGATTGGGACTTAGAGTTTCATCCACGGGTTGAGTTGGACCTATTGGGTCTCAAACTCCGAAGCCATTAGAGTCCTGGCGGATATTAGCGATCCATCCGTTCACCGGCTCAATGTGGTTGAAGATTGCGACGTAGCAGATCGTGGTTAAGCGCCGCGATCTGAGGATGGATTGTGATCGCTGAGGTCTCCGCGGACGGCTGTTTTTTGGCGGTCCTCTTTTTCAGTAGCAGAACGTGGTTAGCCGCGATCTGGAGGTTAGACATCCTTGGCTCGGGCAAAGGCTCCTTTCTGGGCCGGTGATGGTAGCCAAACGTGGTTGAAGTCGCGATCTGCGGTGTTGGTAGCAGATGTGGTTGAGGACACGATCTGTGCCATGAAGGTTGTTGGTGCCGGAGGATCCGAACATTCTGACGGATACTGTCCGGGGGAAACCGCGGAAGACGTTCCGGTACGGTGCAAACACTGAAATTCTGTCGGCTGCACTCGTATTTGCCGGGTCAGTCCGGGGAGTCCGTTTCTTCGCATTCGGGAAGTTAACCCTCAGAGGGTAGAGTTGAACTTAGGCTTCTCCACCGAGGGTCAAATTGGACTTAGAATTTTCGAAGAGAGTTGAGGTTCAAATACCGTATCCCTTATTGAGGGTCCGGCTAGGTGGCAGAACGTGATTAGTACGATCTGCGCTTCTGGTCCATTGTGCCACCGTATCCCTTATTGAGGGTCCGTATGCTAGAAGATGCGGTTAGAACGCGATTTACGGGGGTTCTACTGCCGTGTCCCTTATTGAGGGTTCGGCTAGTAGCAGGAACGAGGTAGGTCCCTATTGGGGACATGATCGTGGCTATTTTCAGCTAGTTTTATGGTGAGCTTAACCCTATTGGGGTCCGGCTACCATTAAATTCCAGTTCACCGAGGCTCTTTTGCTGTCCGATGTATATCGGACCTATGTTGAGCTTCCGGCTTGCTTCGGTGGCCAGCTCCCATCCGTCGGCGCGATTCTTCAGACGATGGTCCGGGGCCGGTTGAGCTTTTCTGGGTTGATGGGGTCGACCCTATTGGGGTCACTACTACCATCGAAGGTTGTACCGGGGGTTGTCTCGGTACGATGATCGGTTGAAGGCTGATAGGCTGAGGTGCCCTGTTGACCAGTAAGCTAACTGGTGGTGTTGTCATCGGGGATTTTACCCGTGTAAGCTGGGCTGCGTACTGAGCTCCATCCGGTCCGGTCAGTATGGCCGTCGTCGGCAGATGAGTCGGCGCTAACTGTTCATTCGGGAACCTATTGGGTTCCACATTGAGCGATGGTTGCCGGACATTTGCTTCTACGGTCCTCCGTTGTTCGTCCTCGTGGAATTCCTCGCGACGTTGTTCTCGGGCGTTAACCAACCTCGGGTTCTCCGGGGGTTAGGGGTACGTTCCTAGCCTGGTTCGTGAGGATCTTCTCTGACTTAACTTTTCTTTCTGTGTTCGGGTAATGCGGACGAGCCGACCCTCATAGGGGTCCTGTACCGTCGCGAAAGGTCCAGTATTTCAAGTTTACCACGTCCCTAACTGGGGACGGGTCATTTTATCTTCGGGTTAAGGTCCATCAGAATTCGTCTACGCCCCTATTGGGGGCGCCGTCACGTCCATTTTTCGGTTTTATGGAGCGCCGTATCCCTTATTGAGGGTCCGGCTACCGGTTACATACGTTACATCACGGTCCGCCGGGGGTGTCCCACAGGCGGGCAAGCTCGGAGTCTGTGTCCGAGTTTGAGGTGATGCCTTCCTGGGATTCTGCCGGCGTCTGGGGAATTCTCTGTACCTGATCCGGCTGAACTGTTGACGGTAGGGCTGCCGGTGTTGTAAGGCTCGGCCGGGTGGCAGAAGGCTCGGACAGTTGAGAGAGATAACGTCTGCGGGCACACAGAAAAAGAGTTGCTTCCGGGTTGCCACGGGCGCTCTCTCAGGTGCAAGCCATCAGAATGGCCGACTCGTCTAGTGGTCCTCGGGTCAAACACAGGAAACAAGGGAATCGTCCGTACCTCGGCTGATTGTTGCCAATACAATCCAAACATCTGTGGTTGTACTTGTATTCTTCCATCTTCTATGGTCAGAAATATAAGGCACGGTAGTGGTTGATTCTCGAACTCCCTAGTCCCTACAATTTTACATCCTGTGATCTATGCCCTATGACACATTCGGCCGTCTCGTATTCCGTCGGATGGCATCCTATCGGAAGGTCGATTCGCGGGTCAGCGGGTGCCAAGTTCAGGTAAGGAGGGTGTCCTGCACCTTGACTTCGGATTCTCCGAGGCTCTGAAAGCTACTGTGCCATACTCCGAGGCTACTCCGAGCCAACCTCCGCTTCACCGAGGGTCGTTAGCCGCTGTTCCAAGTCCTGGCGCAGAGATCACTTCCACTCGGGACTGTTGGGGTCGAATGACCTCGGTCGAGTCATAAAGGCAGGGCACTTCGGTTGCTTGTAACCGGGCCTTTAACTGCTCGTTATCTCCTGATAAGATCACTCACCGAGGCTTGCTTAACCGAGGCATAACGGGCTTTCCTCCGACGTATGTCGCCTATTGGGCAATCTGTTCGTCGTCGGTTAAAAATACCCGTCGTTCCGTCTCGGAAACATCATCCTTGGGGTCTTCATTCGTAGGGTCCGGATCTAAACCGGTGTCGCTGGACTTAGCCGACTTAGCCGAGGTAAGCTGGTGATCGGCCGGGTGAGAAACCGTAATTGCGGTTAACTCACCCCTAAATGTAACGAACCTTCATTCCGAGGCTCCCGTCCGGGGGTTGATTCATCTATCTCTATCCTTCGGACCAACAAGTCGAGGCTGATGTTGTTCTCGTTACCATCGTCATTCTGGGACGATTCTCCGTCAAAGGGATATGAGGATTGCAGGTGGGCTAACCCTCATGGGCGCCTTAGTCAGATACCGCTGAGGTGTGTGGTCCGAGGCTCCGATGTGGGAACCAGGGTAATACTTCAATGACGATGTCCTTACGAAGCCCATCCTGCTATCCGGACGCTCGGTCACCTTATTGGGTAACACAGTCGCGTCGAACACATCCTCGGCCGGCGATGGTGTTTTGCTGGTTCGGGGGTTTGAGGGTTCGAACATCGGTGGGGTTGCCGGGAGTTCTTCAGTCGGCTTTGCAATCTTGGGCGAAGCAGATTTCGACTTGCGAGTTGCATGTGAGGCTTCAATCCGGCTGGCTCGCTTTAATCCAGCAAAGGCTCGCTACCAGGGGATATGGGTTTCGGGGATGACGGTCGCGGTTAAGTTAACCTCGGTAACCGAACCCTCACCCTCATCCGCGGAGGCTATGTCGGTTTCGACCGATTAAAATCCGGAATTTTACCGGGAAAACGGCGTTTTTTAGCCGAAGGAGTGGGGGTTTCCGGTTGGGTTTTGGGTGCTCCGACCTGTTTGGTCAGAGTCCGGATTCCGGTGTTAGGGTTCCGAGCCTTGGTATCCGAGGATCGATTAGCCTCAGTGTCCAAGGGTCGCTTTGCCTCGGTACCCGAGGGTCGGTTAGCCTCAGTATCCGAGGCTTTTGCCGGCTCCATCCTTCCTAATTGTCTGAAGTGGTCGCCTTCGGAGTCCCGGTGGGTCGTTTCGGGTCCGGCAACGTCGATTTCCGACTGTTGTCCGAGGATTTAGGGTTGTTGCCCGTTAGTTTGGGGCCTGGAGCCAGGGTCGGTGGGGACCTAGTTGGTGAACCCGCCTTGTGGGTCACCACCCGCGTCGGTGAAACCGTACCCTTCAATTGGCTCGGGCTCGGCTGGCCCTGCCTCGTTTTCGATCCAGCCATGCCGCCCTGTTGGTGCCGCACAGGGTTACCCATGTCTGGTGACACCTCGGAGCTACTTAGCGCCGGGCTCGAGGCTCCGTTGTCCGGTAAAATGGCCGGTAAGAAGGCCGGCAAGGCACCTATTGGGTGCGCAGGTCCGGCCACAGGCTCGAAAGTCACCGCATCCTGGCTTATTGGGCAAGACAATGCCATTGGAAAGAGGGTTTTATTTCAGATGTCACCCTCGGGTAGATCGCTTCCTGCACTTCTGTCCGGTTAGTCATTCCGTCCAGCAGCGATTTGGCAATTTCCGCCCGTGGTGTCCGGCCATATCTTGGGTTGACCACTTCTTACGCCTCTGTCCGGTTGACTACTCCGTCCAGTGGTGATTTGGTGGATTTCACCCATGATGTCTGGCTATAATCCGATTGTCGATGGTATCCCTCTTTTTTAGCCGACGGGGTTTGAGTTTTCGCCGGAAAAATGGCAATTTTGCCTAGGCCAAACAAGCTTTCCAGCCATATTGCTCGGTGAAGGTAGGGTCCGGACCCTTAATTGAGGGTTCCCACCGTCATTTGGGAGGGTCCGAGATTCATCCTTCGGGGGTGCGTTTGGGGTCCCCAAACGTCTTTCTCGGTCCGGCAAGGCCGATTCTCGGTCTTTTCCGGATGACTAGGGTTGCTTCTCGGTGGTTTGAGGCTCCAAGTCGGGAACATCAGAATTCCACCCGGTGAACTCGCCTTGTGAGTCACCTTCCTTGTCGGGAAAGAAGTCCCTTGGATCCATTCCGGATCCGTTCTGGTAACCGTGTCACCTCATTGGGGTAACACCGGGTCATCGAAGTTTGATGACACCGCGGCAACGGTTAGTGCCGGGTACGAGCCTCCGTTGATTGGAGGAATGGTTGGCATGGCACCTATTGGGCGCTCAAAGCCAACCTGAGCCTCCGGGTTCACAGTATTCTTGCCTATTGGGCAAGTCGGAACCTCGGATCCAGTTTGGGATGGCTCTTGGGAAGTTCTATCCCGGTCATTCTCCAGGTATCTCATGGCATTCAGGAATGGTCACCAGGCAATCATCTAAGGTACCACTCCGTCAGGAGCTTTTCATTGCCCCAAAGTGCTTCTACCTCGGCTTGCATGGCTGCTAACTCGGCCTGGCTCGAAGGAGACATTAGCGGCTCTTCTATCTGCCGCTCAGTGCCCGATGCCTCTGGTATCGGGATTGACTTCACTGTCCCGTTGACCTTGCGGGCTCTATCCTCTTTATGGGCTTGCGGTGCCACGGTGATCATCTGTCCGTCGCCAGTCCGATCCGCTAGGGGTGCATCCTCCCTCGGGGCTTGTTTCACTGCGGCGGTCTTCTGTCCGTGGCCAGCTCGATCCTGGCAGGGGATGCGGTTTTCACCGGTGTCGACTTTCCGGTTTACCCGTGTATCCACACTGCCCGATGCCTCTGGTATCGGGATAGACTTTACCGCAGGGTTAGGCGGTTGAGGTGTCCGGTCAACCGAAGGGTCCGTTGGGACTTTGCTTCTCGACCGGAGGTTGCTCTGCAGCAATTCCCCTATGCTCGTCGGCGGAGTCGTTTGGCTTGTGCCGAGCGCAGTGGAACAGGTAGCGACCCCGTTACCATGCGTCCGAGCGTAAGCCTCCTTGTATCCGGCAACATTACTTGCAGTTGCCGATTGGAGACCGGGGGATCCTTCCGTCTTTTTGACGGACATTCCATCCGCTGCGCATGCGGTGGAGGGTCCAAGAGGCCTCGCATCCTGGGGGGTCACGTTAAAGCCTTTCGCCGAGGCTCGAGGTCCGGTTGCCGTGGCGACTTTAGTGGCGCCATCCGGTCCGGTGGGTAAGGCGCCGTTCTTGGCACCCATCGGTCTGGCGACGTTATTGTCGCCCGACGTTCCGGTGGACGAAGTGCCGTTAATGGCACCGGAGGGTCCGAGGGGCACGGCGCCGTTAATGGCACCGGCTGGTCTGGCGACGTTATTGGCGCCCGACGTTCCGGTGGACAAAGTGCCGTTAATGGCACCGGAGGGTCCGAGGGGCACAGCGCCGTTAATGGCACCGGCTGGTCTGGCGACGTTATTGGCGCCCGACGTTCCGGTGGACAAAGTGCCGTTAATGGCACCGGAGGGTCCGAGGGGCACAGCGCCGTTAATGGCACCGGCTGGTCTGGCGACGTTATTGGCGCCCGACGTTCCGGTGGACAAAGTGCCGTTAATGGCACCGGAGGGTCCGAGGGGCACAGCGCCGTTAATGGCACCGGCTGGTCTGGCGACGTTATTGGCGCTGGACGACCCGGCAGCATTGATGCTGCCGGACGACACTATTCCTTTTTGGGAACCATGTCGTCCTTTAAGGGTCTTCTGCTGAGGCTGGGACCCACAGGAGCCTGATTGGGCCGCCATGGTGGGTCCTCGGATCGGTTGACTCAGTTCATCCGGAATGCCAAACTTGTCCCGGGTGGTCACCGACCATATTCTAGGAGAACCGACGGCGATGTTGTCGCCAGTCGGCCTGACAGCATCAGTCGCTCCGGAAGGTCCGGCAACGTTGTTGCTTCCGGATATAAGAGTTCCGTTCTGGATACCATTCGGACCCTCCAAGGTTCTCTTGTTAGGTCCGGGTTCACCGAGGCAGCTATTGGCGCCTGCAGTGACCCTCGATATGGGTATTTTTCCGGCTCCATTCTGGATGCCAGGTTGTCCGACGAAGGTTCTCTCGTCAGACGGGGACCCCTCGGCGCGTCTTTGGGCGTCTATAGTGGATTCTCCGGGGTTATCCTTATCCGGTGGCTCAGTTGGTGGTAAGCGGTCAGCCAAGCCACCGGTGCTTACTGACCGTACTCGTTTCCCGTCAAGTAGACCGAGGCCGATCCACTGCCGTTATTGGGGGTATATGGCTCCGGGGCTACCGACAGTTGCATCTGCCCAGCGGGATTCTGGTATCCGCCAGGTCCAAGGTAATTTCTACCTCCGTCCGGCTGGTTCCCGCTGGCCACTCGATTCCTTCTGTCGGGAGGCTGGTTCCGGTTGACCCTTCTCCTTGGTCTCCCTGCACCTATTGGGCGCGGGGTTACCAAGGCCGCACGGTTCGGGTTTGCCGCGCCTAATGGGCCACCGGCAGCATACCTTTGACGCCAATCCATATACCAGCGGAGGTTCGGGTTAAACGCCGGGTCGACGTTCGCGTACGCGCAGGTATTGTTGTGGTGATTGCCCCACATGCAGTTACCGCAGGTGATCCCGTTCTCAAATGTCCACTGCTGGAACAGGCCCTCCTGCCTATTCACGTAGGCATCCAGGGTCCGCTGGCCCTGATTAGGCCCGGGGTTTTGACCATTCTGGCCGAGGCTTCTCCCCTGACCATGGTTACCCTGACAGAATCCGTTTCCGCTATAGCACTCTCCGTTATAGCCTCCATTGTGACCAGCGAACCCAATTCCTGGGTACTGGCCGGGGCTACCGTAAGATGGCAGCGGGGCCCGGGGCTGCACGGCTGACATCCCTATTGGGGACGCAAAGTGCACCGCGTGTTGGCGTTCTGGGGCCAGAATCACGTTTCGAACATGATTTTCTTCCATCGGCGCCTTGTACTCCGCCCTTCCGGCGGTGAACTTCCGGATATAGGTCAGGAAGTCGGCGGTAGTTTCCGGCATCCTGATGTCCAAGGCCCGGCGTAACTCTGATTCAGTTACATTCTTCCGTAGATAGGTGAGGGCCAGCTGTTCCGAAAGATTGCCACGTGCCTTAATGTTCATTATGGCATCGAAGTACTGCTCCGGGGTTTCTTCTCCGAAGCGGTACATACGTCGGCTGATATCGGCTATAGCGTTGGCCTGCTTATCACTCTCCGCAAACCGGTCGGTGAACTTATCCAACCACTCCCCGACGGTCCATCCTTCTTCGGGCTCGAAGGTCGATTGGTTTTCAAACCATTCGAGAGCCGGGCCGGAGAGGACATTTTCCAACGCGGTCGTGAAGTTCACGTCCGGTTCATCCAGGTCACCATCCGGTCCGTAGATCCGTCGGATGGTTTTAACCCATCTATACAGGTTTCCGCAGATCCCGTCAAACTTTGGTAACTGGGGCCGGTTGCTACGGTCGATCGCCCGGCGCAATCTCTCTTCACGATCCCGGGCATTCCTTAAAGCTGCTACTGTTGGCTGCGGTTGGGCTGCAATGTAGCCTTGTTGAACCACCGGGACGAGCAGCGGTTGCGCTGCTGGGTAGCCTGGTTGGGCCACCGGGATGGGGAACGGTTGAGCTACGTGGTAGCCTTGTTGGGCCACCGGGATCAGCAGGGGTTGAGCCGGCTGTTGAACCTGATGTTGAGCCGGGGTTGACACAGGTATGGGACCGAGGGTTGAACCGGGTATTGAGCCTGGTGGTCACCCTGTATGTTGGGGACACAAAGCAGACCGGCCGAATTGGGCCGATCTCCCGGTGCCAACGGTCTCAGATGTTCTGGCGCAGCCGCATTCTGCGGCATCCGTCCGGCAATTTGCAGGCGGAGGTCAGGGTCTGCCCGGGTCGGCTGATTCTGCAGTCGACAATAAGCCCCAGTTGGGTCTCCGGGGGTCGGGCTGGAGGCTGATGACGCCGAGTAATGGTCTGATGGCCGATTGCGATTCTCAATTAGACCTAATTGGGTCATATTGAGGGTGGGATGCCTTGGGTGCCGGTCTAACAGCATCATCGAAGGCTGGTTTAGGCTGGGGTCCACAGGGTGGGGTCCGATCACCTCATTCTGAGGTGCGGGCTGGTGGATTCTTGGGTGTTGAGGTTGTGGCGTTGTTGGCTCCGATGCAGGCTGCTGCTCCAAGTCGGAGATCCGCCGATGTAGGGCGTCGATAGCCTGCCGGGTGTCCTTTTGTAAGGAGCGAGCCAAGGGCATGCCGGGTTTCTTGGTGCTCCCTCTGGAGTACGCCGACCGCCTCCAGAGTCTCCGTCTGGTTTTTGTGCAAAGTACCGACGACTTGCAGGGTCTCCGTCTAGTTCTGTTGCAAAGTGCCGAGGTTCTGCTGCACGGTGCCGAGGTTCTGCTGCAATGCACCGACGGAATGCAGGGTTTCGGCTGAGTTCCTTTGCAGCTGACCGAGGAGGCCAGCGATCTGCTGGAGAAGCGGCGGGTTCTGTTCGCGTCCTTCTGATGGGTCGGGTCTGCAGTCCACCGGGGTTCCGTACTGAGGGTCCGACTGAGGTGAAGCCCCGAGGCCGATATAAGGGACATTCTGTCCCGGTGAAGGGGTTGCCTGTACCTCCATTAGCCTTATTGTGCCCATGGATGGTACATTACGGCCAGCAGGACTAATATGATGAGGGTCGTAACCCCCGGTCTTCATCGGTTCCGGTGGAGTATGGTGACAACGGGTCTGAGCGCTCATTCTGACGCTCAACCTTGGTAACCCGGGAAATGGAGATGTGATGCCTCGGCCGGGACGTACAGACTATCCCTATTTGGGGACCGTCTAATGTTAACGGGTTCAGATTGATGAACCTCGGTACGTCCGACTTCGAGGGCCGAGGGTCGAGGGTCGAGGCTTCGGTATGTCCGGCTTCGAGGGTCGAGGGTCGAGGGTCGAGGCTTCGGTATGTCCGGCTTCGAGGGTCGAGGGTCGAGGCTTCGGTATGTCCGGCTTCGAGGGTCAAGGGTCGAGGGTCGAGGCTTCGGTATACCGGCTTCGAGGTCGAGGTCGAGGTCCGGCTTCGAGGGTCGAGGGTCGAGGCTTCGGTATACCCGGCTTCGAGGGTCGAAGGTCGAGGGTCGAAGCTTCGATATGTCCGACTTCGAGGGTCGAGGCTTCGGTATGCCCGGCTTCGAGGGTCGAGGGTCGAGGCTTCGGTATGTCCGGCTTCGAGGGTCGAGGGTCGAGGGTCGAAGCTTCGATATGTCCGACTTCGAGGGTCGAGGCTTCGGTATGTCCGGCTTCGAGGGTCGAGGGTCGAGGCTTCGGTATGTCCGGCTTCGAAGGTCCGGGTACGGTGGTTCCGGCAATTTGCGGAAGTCGGTTGGAATCCCTAATTGGGGACGTCCGTCTAACAGTGTCCGGTTACCGCAGAAGGTGAAGGCTTAAGCGGTTTTCGCTTCAGCCGGGTCGGCCAGATATCCCTATTGGGGACCTCTAGTCCAGTCGAGCTTCCGCTAAGTCGAGTCCGAACCCCCGTTGAGTCAACCGAATATCCCTGTTGGGGACTTCCGGTTGAATCGAAGGAATTTTTTTGGGTTCAAAGCCTCCAAGAGTCCGTGGGGGGGGCGCAGGTCCGGTGGGGGCAGAGGTCCGGTGGGGTGAGGGGTGACGTGGTTGGTGTGCTTGTACTACTTGCAGCTCAGTACTGATGTTAATACAGGGTACAGCTTACGTACGTCCTATACTACTGTACTGACCGCACTGACGTCACACACCGCTGAGTGGTCTTGCGGATTACTGCCTACGTCACGAATCTACGTGCCGCGTGCAAAATTCCAAAAAATTATGACTCACTACGGGCCTATAGCATAGGGAATCTCCCCGCTATCCTGATTGGTCAAATTTTATATTGTAAAATCGGCCGTCGTGACGTCACAATTATTTTTTTAAGTTGAATTAATTATTTTTGCCGTGGGAAAATCGGCGAAAATTCCAGAAAAATTATGAAAAATTATTTTTCACCGACCAAAAACTAATTTAGCCGGGGGAAATTAGTTCCTAATTTTTCGAAAGGTTAGGAAGGTTGAAAACCGAGGCTCAGAGGGTCTACACCGAGGCTCCGAGGGTCCGACCTAGTAAGGTTGGCTAACCCTATTTTTACCCGTTAAAGATGTTTTTAAGCCCGTTTCTCCGGGTGAAAAAGGTTTTTAGCCAACCGAAACTAGTTTTCGGCGGTGGAAAATCAAAATTACCCGGCTATATCGGGTCTACCGAGGCTCTACGTGGCTTACCGAGGGTCAGTCGACCCTATTTACCGGGTAAATCCACGTGAATCCAGTCGTTCGTCCGGTGAATCCCGCGCTGGTAAAGTTGCGGGTGCCACTTAAGGCAAAGGCGACCCCGATTGATGAGGCTGTGAAGGTCCGCTGGGTCCGTGCCGTACGTTCTGTCCGGGGATCCGCGATAGCCGCTGTTCAACCTGGGCAAAGTCCGTCCGATGGTCGTTTCCGCAAGGAACGTTCCGTCCGCGCGCGAGAAGAGGGTTCGCCAAAGCTTTCTGCCCGCAAGAGAGACAAGAGAGACCAGACCGTTCAGGCTGGCGGCGATCAGATGGGGATAGGAACCTTCGGTTCTCCCCTGTCTTCACGTCGGCCGTTACGGATGTAGTTCTACACCGTGGTCTCAGAACTTCCGTGCGAAGGAAAACACAGATCTGCTATCATGTGACAGCAGCAGGGCAGAGGCTCACGATAGTGAGAAAGGCTTTATTGTGGATAG